CAGAGCAATAGCTCCACAGCCATCTTGTCTAGACTCCTCCTTTTAAAGTTGCCTGTACTGGCTTACTTCCTGTATCAGCCCATCCTGAACTCTCAAGGAGTTTCTATGACCAACCTGATTGGGCATGGATTAAAGTCCCCACACCTCCCCCCAAAACCTGCACTTTCCTGGTGGAGGAAGTGTCTAGACCCAGACACCAAACAACTAACCCCCCCCCCCAAGAAAAGGGCTAAAAATAAAAAAACTCACCTGACTGCCATTAAACTGCTGCTGGAGTCCTCCTGGTGTATAGAAATGACACGCAAGGAGAGGGGGGACAAGGAGCCAATTTCCTCCTCACCCTCCTTCTCCTGACATGTCATTTCTATGCGGGATGGCTGTGGGGAATTGCCCCTGGTGTCGTGGAACCCACAGGTCTAACGCTTCATTAGACCCGGGCCTTTCAGGAAGGCCTGGATCTAATGAGGTATTTAATTGATTTAGAATAAACCAAGGGATCCTTGGTTTGTTTGGAATTAATTCATTTTTACTGGAGGCATTGTTTGGAAACCACTGGTAAATTCCAAGACAGGTCCTGTATTTTGGGCCTGACTGTGGATGGACTCTTACAGGGTTTTCTTGGGGAAGTTGCCTTTCTGTGAGACTGAAGAGTGTGATTTTTCCAAGGTAACCCAGTGGATTTTATGGTTGAGTGGGGGTTTGAATCCTGGTCTACAGAGTTGTAATTTAATGTACAAATCACTATTATCACACTGGTTATCTTCTAAAAGGTATATGTAATATAAGTCGTGCAGTATACTTCAGGGACTTACAATTAGTATCAATAAACGGATTTGTAAATTGCCAGCTATAAATAAGATCAAAGGATGTTCTCTAAATAAGTAATTAAAATGTTACACTTCCAAAATGCAATTTGCATAGTAGACTGTCTACTTATCTTAGTTTGAAAAGGCAGCTTGTGCAGTGTAAGAGATTCCCAAACCTTTGAAACCCACGGCTCTGAGTTATTCAAAATCTAGCTGTAAAGCTTCAACCACTTTGTACAAAACAGTCAAAAACATCCTATATGGAGAAGAAATTGATTTAATTTAGTAATATAAAGGCTAGTTTCAAATTGATTTGATGGTTACTTTACTACATGGCAAGGCGTGGTGTGATATATCCTTTACTACTTTATAAAATATACACTTTCCTGACAACTTTCTTCCAAAACAATAAATTATATTTTGTTCCCGCTATAAGTAGCCATATGTTCTAAATTCCAGGACAAAAGGCTTAGAATGTCACTTCTACAATTACAATTACAGAACTACAGCTGTAGTTTGGAGGTAAATTGACATTAAAGCCAGAATAATATCTTGTTATTATTTTCTCCATTGTTTGTTCAGATCAGTCACAACCCCTTAGCAAAAAAAGAAAAGTACAGAATGTTTGTCCTAAAGTAACATCAGTATTGATTAGGTTTTGCAAGAGAATACCTTTCAAATTGGATGAGTATATTATACCAAATACCAACCTGTAACTACCAAAATATGGTCACCAGGAGCACTCACTGACCTCACGCTTTATCATCTGGGTTAACTGAGCCCTCTGAGCCATCATTCATCACCATAAACACACTGGCCTTTTTCCAAATAGTAAATAATGTAAACCAATTCCTTCCTTGCGACAAATTCAGTGTGATAATCGAGTTGTGTCAGTGGAGACCAACCCAAGGCTAAGTGAGTAGCATGCTCAGAATCTAAAAAGGAGAACTGGCTACCTCTAATAAATTTTATTACAGGTGCTCTGCAACACTAAAAGACTACAACAGTTACTCATAAGAATCAATTGTTCCATTGGCTGTTCTGTTTTTAAACCAAGATCAGCCATAACAAGGAAAATAACTTTCCAGATGCAAAATTGCTATGCTCCTTATAACAAGAGACATTCACAGCTCAACACATATAGACACAGATCAGGAGTGCATTTACACTGTAGAATTAATGCAGCTCGGCACCATTTTAACTGCCATGGCTTAATACTGTGGACTCCTAGAATTTGTAGATTAGTGAGCTACCTCCACTCTGACAGAGAAGGCTAAAGACTGTGCTAATACAATAGCTCCTGTTATTCCATAGCATTGAGCATAGCATAGCAAAGTTAAAGTGGTCTTAAACTGCATTAATTCAACAGTGTAGATGCACCCAAGGAAATCTTCTGAACCAAGGTCTAATGCCAAGTCCCAATGAAATGGCACATCCCCTGAAACAAAACAAAAAAGCATGCTGAGGAAAACATTTGCATGTAATAGTGGCAATTCCTGCTGATCAGAAATGGCACAGCTTCTTGTGTTCAGATGGCTCCGTGTAATCATCATCCTCAAAAGGACATAAATACGTTTTTCTAATGCAACAGAGCAACTGAAACAACTCCCCTAGGGTGTTTACGAGCTTATTAGCTGAGTTAAATGGGGGCATGTTCTTCAACTTCAACAAAAGCCAAAAAGTGAGGTTATATTTATCATTTCCAACTTTTGTAGATTAGTTTTGTAACCTAAGGCAAAACCAGTTTACCCAAATTCTTTTCAATTTCAGGTTAAAGTGGTAAGATTTCTCCCTCTAAAAACTGAGGGAATGGAAGACTAGCTAGGGAGGGGAGGAGTAAAAAAGAAGTCTAGCTAGAAAAAGGAAAAAGCTAGTAAGTTCTGCCTTCTCATTTTGTATTTTCACTTTGAGAAGGTAAAATGTATTGTGTATTGCTCAGCACATGCAATTGTATTGTTTAGTGTAATGAAATGTAAACATCTAAATGATTTATTTATTTTAATCAAACAATAATGACAAAGAATGTAGTTCCAATGTAGCAGCTTGCTGTCACACTTACAATATCTAGGTATACCTTTATTTTAATGGTGTTGGGAAAATGGGGGGGGGGGGGGGGGGGGGAGAGAGACCTGAAAGTGGAAAGTGTCAACCTTGTAGTAATTACAAATACAGTGTTGCCTCGCTACTTCACGGTTCGCTTTCCGCGGACTCAATGTTTTGCGGAGAAGGAGGAAGAGGGCTTGCTTCCTTTTCTTCTTTCCCATGCAAGCGGGGAAGGAGGAGGGGAGGGGAAAAGAGGAGCATCCCTACTTCATGGATTTTCACTTATCGCGGGTGGTCCTGGAACGTAACACGTGCAATTAGTGAGGGAACACCGTACATACATTTTTGTTATCTGGACTTAAAAACAAGTAACCTCCTTTCTTTATTATAAGCTTTATATAGAAACAGAGGAAATATTGTGAATAGTATTGTATATGCCAAACTTTATATTCCATATTCACAGTGTTTCCAATCTAACAATATTAAAGGACTATTAGTAAACCTGGTTATTGAGTTGAATGTTATTATAATACTGACACATCCGTAAGTATCATAGAAGACAAAATTAATCATTTCAAATCTAGAGAATATGGTTTTTAATCATAAATAAGTCATATCTTCTCAAGTACAACCTTCTCATGTTTCTTTAATCAGATGTAATCTCTGAAATACTAATTCAGAACAAGCCGCCCCCTGTATACCTCAGAGTACTGAAGGTATGCATCAATAGGAACATGCTTCCCTTCTGATCCACAATTTAGCTTATTTTTTTGGTTTGTTGTATATTTACAAATAGAAATCAGTTGGCATCTTGACCCAGCAAGATATCTCATGATTCCATTCAGATGCCCATGGGCCACAAAGCCTGTCTCTCCTGGACTTCCCTGACATTCTTAGTCTGTTACCTTAAAAGCTCTGCCATCTTTAAGCCTACAACCTTCTTTTACCTATAGTTTATTTTAAAGGTTTACATCTCACCTTTCCAAAGGACAAAGTAGCTTCCAACAAAATGAACATCAATAGCAAGTGCAAAACGGTAGTTCAAGAAGACAGTCTCATAAACCAATGTCACTGCAGCATGCAATTTGTATTCAGACATCTGAAAAGTCCACTTAGCTTCCACAGACCTTTTGCCAGAGGTACATTTTACATCCTCATCATCTCTTCTGTGCTGCAGGAGAGAGGGAAAACAATTGTGTTCAGGCATCTCTTACAAATATGGGCAGAAGATGTACAGACAGTCCCCAAGTTACAAACAAGATAGGTTCTTTAGGTTTGTTCTGAAGTTGAATAATGGAAAAGAATACCGTTAAACTAAGGTCAGAATTCACTGGTGTGCATCTGATGATGGAACCGGAGGTTTTCCAAAAGATGCAAAATGCGATCACTCCTCCAAATTCATCTTCCCTTCAATTCCTCAGAATCCAAGGATTAGGAAACCAGCTGGTCCTGGTAGTAAGTAAGTAGTAAGGAGCTCATCACAAGTGATGAGAGTTCTGCTGCACAAATCAGCCAGCTGCCATTGTGATGTTGGCATTATCCTTAAGAGTAGAATTCTACGCAAAAATACTTATAGGTTTTGGTGTGGTGCTAATCATTACTTCTTTCACAAAACATTGCTTAGAACATCCCACTTTATGGATGCTTTATGTCAATTTTCCTAAGGCAATATTCTTCACGATTTCAGAATCACTGTAGTAATACAACTATTCAAAAAGACATGGAGAGATCATTTCTTTTGTTTGCTTTGAAGATTATTTTTGATTCAGTTTTTACAAAGTTGCTGTTTTATCTACTACATTTTCTTTTGCTTTAATAAATGGATAAATTGTAAATCCAAATAAAGTTGTTTATATAAGAATCGAGATGAAAAAAATACAGAGCAAGCAACTGAGGCATACATTATTTCTTTCTGCTGGCATGTAATTGAGGTATGGTAGTGATGTTGGGGAATGATAACAATAGTTTAATGCATATTTTCCATTTTCAGGAGGTACTTCTGATTACTACTGCCATTATGGAAAAACCTTCTTTCTTAGTTAGATAAGTAGAATCAGACTGTGTTGATGAAGCTACTGCTGCTGTTCTGTTAGCTATAATACAAGATTATCAGATGATAAATAATGTGTGTGATTTTTCTCTCCCTTGTAGTTGCACTCTGCTGTGACCAGGATCCAAGTACAAAGACCAGGTTTCAATTACACATTTGCCCATATCTGCATCCTAAATAATGACAAGTCTTGCATCGTGGATGACATTGTGCACATCCTGAAAGAACTGAAGGCTGCTCGCATGTCTAATCAAACAAATTTTGCTATCACATACCCAATCACGCATTTAAAGGATGGCAGGGAAGTGTACAATGGACACCAACTTGGCGGTGTCACCGTCCACAGCAAAGACCGGGTGAAGTCTGCCGAAGCCATTCAACTCACATATTATTTGCAGGCAATCAACTCTCTGAATGATATGGTGGCAGAAAAATGGGAATCGAATTTCTGTGACACGGTTGAACTTTTCCAGAAATCAAACCAGAATGTCACAATGTATCCTTTCACTTCATCATCTCTTCAAGAAGATTTCCAGAAGACAAGCATAGTGTCAGAACGCTACCTGACCACAAGCTTGGTCCTTGTGGTAACGTTGGCCATGCTTTGTTGTTCCATGCAAGACTGTGTCCGCAGCAAACCCTGGCTTGGTCTCCTTGGATTGTTAACTGTGAGTTTGGCCACTCTCACAGCAGCTGGAATCATTAATCTGACTGGTGGGAAATACAATTCTACTTTCCTGGGAATTCCCTTCATCGTATTAGGTAACTATATCTTACTCTGTTTTTCTGTTAAGTCTATCTGTATGAAATAATTATCTGTATCAAGCCATTTTTCAAACCAAGGCTGCCAAAAGCAATGCAAAGTGCAGGGCAACATGAGAATCCAAGCCATTTGGATGTGCTACAGTTGTTTATTCATTAATATTCAGAATTGATGGACCTGACTTGTGCTATGTTTGCAGCCAACAAATTCTCAGAATGCCACTCAGCCTTCCTACATTCTCTCTCATTATATACTGCATATTGGTCCATGTATCACGCAGAATACTTAGACTATCATTTATTCTTTAGTCATTTACTCCTGAGTTGATCCATAGGATAGTTTTGAAAAATGCAGATATTCAGACATAATATGAGGCAGTAGAAGGTGGTGGACAGTCAAACCAAATAGTTCTCTGTAGAATACTTAGTATGATTTTGCACTTTGCTTCATAACAGAATCATATGGTTTTAGCCTGAAGAAATGTGTATCTGCTTCTAGACTGAAGAAATATGAAGGCTCTTGCATTTCTGTAGTTCAGATTTTGCAAACGAATACAACACTGTTCAACAGGTTCTGGACTAACCTTTTGCTATACCTCCTTGAGTTATGGCGGGAGTGGGAAACCTCTATTATTCCCTAGTTTAGATGGTCCACAGATGAATTACTAAAATAAGGCATGGCTTTCAGGTTTTCCCCCCCTATATCAGATGCAAATGTATCTGGCGTGAAAATGGAATATAAGATATAAGTAGCAGGTATCTGCTTCAATGACTCTGTCTCTTAAAACTGTTTGTCTGAAGTAAATATTTCACAATAGGAAGATCCTCTGAGTGAATTTTCTGTACTGATCAACTGCAGATACCTTCTGATAAATACATTTTTGTGATCTACTATTCAACTAAAACATATTGCCAATTCTACCCATATACAGTTATGAATTAACATATGCAAAATTTATCAATTTCTCAAGAGGTCAGGGAGAAAGGTAGTGATGTTTCTTACCAATGAATCTAAAAAGAAACAAAGCATTTTGAAGAACTGATTCTATTAATTTTTGAAGCAGCTTCCCAGTTAATCTATTTCACCTCAAAAAAGGGGGGGAAATCTTATGACTTCTTTAATAAATTAATTTTAGCACAAAGATTTGTAGATTACTATCTACTTCTCAGGTCCAGTGTCTTTGAAGATTGCATCTTTAAAAATGCAATTGTGATTCATGAAAGTGCATGCTAAAACAAATGTGCTAGTATTATAGATGCCACAAGAGACCTTTTTCTCCAAGTCTACAAAAGCATCTTTGTAAGTAGAGGGATTTTTTTTACATAAGAGTGGAGGCTGGTATGAAATGATCTTCTGAAATACCCTCAATTATTATTTTAGAAAGCCCTTAGGTTGATTTTGCTTTATTCATAAGTGCTAGTGGGGAAACACAACTGCAAACTACTGATACCTCCTTGCTAACAACAATTAAAGAATATTCAGTACAGTGATTTGATAAAGGTTTTGCAGCCTTGCATATGTTTTAGCATAAGTGAGCTCATATTGCTTCATCACATCTTGTAGCTGTGTTTTACATTTCTCAGGTGGGTTTCTTGATTTGGCCCAAAAATTTAATTCAGACTGAATATTAGTTTTGCAAATATGTGCACATGATATATGCATGCTTGTCTTTTAATTTTTAACTAAAAAGTAGTACAAATATCAACCCATATTTCACACCAGCTCTTTTTTGACAGAGGAATTTTAGTAGAAATAAGGCAATCAGGCTATTGTTTTATCCTATTTCCAAATGGCATCCAAATTGCCCAGATAAATACAATACCATCTAAAGGTAATGTAGTAATTTGTTGCCAGGAATTTGTTGTCAGGAAACTAGTTAATTGCTGTAAATTTGTCAGTATGCAATCTGATAATGCCTTGATCATAATGTGGCAATTTATATCAAACATATCCTCCCACATGCAGAATCTTTGTTACAGAAATATAAATATTGGCAGTAGAAATTTAATCTATAAATCTACCCATAGACTATGCCACATAGAGTAATTTTTTTTTAGAATGGTGTCAGGGGAAAAATGATCAAGATACTTGAGGACAATCTTTCAAATTGTTAATTGGTTGCCAATGAATATAGTTTAATCCTTACTTTATTGTGGGTTAAAATTAACCTTGGCAAATCTTGCCGTTCTGAGTATGCCATTGTTCACAGCAGATACAGTCTTCTTCTTTCTTTTTTTCTTTTTCTTTTTTGTTCCCTCAAGGAACGAATTTTAAGCAAGCAATTCAATTCAAAATAATTGTCATAATAAAACCACCCAGATCATTTGAATCCTTCCAGTGGCTTGCATGGCTTAATAAAAACTGACAAAGACTAGACTGCAGAGTGAAGGGACAGTGTGTAGCAAGGTCTCAAGAAGCTTTAATTAGAATCTATTCTGCCTGGGAGAAGGCTTTATCTCTCTACAAAATATAATATTTGGTACTAGGTATCAATAATTTAGATGTTTACTAGAGACAAGAAAGTTGACTATTTCAAAGCAGTAGAAAGCGTTCAAACCCATCACATCTTTATTCAAACAGCCCTATTGTCCAGGAGCCCTGTGTGACTTTTCCCTAATCAGTGGTTTGCCTCCATCTTCCAACATTCTAGTTTCCTTATTGCCATGAATGTATTTTAAAATTTCCCATTTAATGTTTTCTTTTGATTGAACACACCCTTCACATTCTGCATAGAAGCAATACTACTTTTCTAGTACTATGTGATTTTGCAGTTAGGATGGTTTATATCACCATATGCACACACACACACTAAAAAGAAACCCTCCAGGCACACACTAGGGGCTAACTGACACTTCACAATTATATCACTATGATTCCACTTCAATTGCCATGCCAATATCCTATGGAATCCTAAGTTCTGCAGTGTGATGAAGCTCAACAGGTATCTGGAAAGGTATTTTTCATACCTCCTCCTTAAACTGCAATATCAAGGGTCTATAGAGCATTATTGTAACAGGAAAAGTGGAATTAGCAGAGTGGGTGAAGGTGGTGGTTCATGCCTCCTTACAAGTGGGCAAGATTCCAGTCAGCTTAGAACAAGCTGTAATAAAACTGGTATTGAAAAAAACCATCACTTGACCCCACTCAATTTGTCAATTTTTGGCCAGTTTCCAATTTCTTCTTTTTGGGCAAAGTCCTGGAACATGTGGGGGCCTCACAACCCCAGGTGTTCTTGGACGACACAGATTATATAGATCCGGCACAATCTGGCTTTAGACTGGGACATGGAACTTAAACAGCCTTGATCACCTTAGTGGATGATCTATGCTGGGAACTGGACAGGGGGAGTGTGTACCTGTTGGTTCTGCTGGACCTCTCAGCAGCCTTCGAGATCGTAGACCACAGTATCCTTCTGGGATGCCTGGCGGGAATGGGTCTCGGAAGTACTGTTCTGCAGTGGCTCCAGTCCTTCCTGGAGGACCATTCCCAGAAGGTGTTATTGGGGATCACCTGCTCAGCCCCACAGCCATTGTCCTGTGGGGTCTCACAGGGTTCAGTACTGCCTCCCATGTTGTTTAACATCTACATAAAGCCCCTGGGAGAGATCATTCACAGTTTTGGAGTTCAATGTCATCTGTACACAGATGATGTTCAGCTCTATAACTCCTTCCCACCTTCAACTAAGGAGGCTGTTCAGGTCCTGAACCAGTGTTTGGCAGCTGTGATGGTCTGGATGAACAGGGTATAGTATTACAACCTGTGCTGGATGGGGATACACTCCTCCTGAAGATGCAGATTTGCAGCTTGGGAGTGCTCCTGGACTCATCATTGAGCCTGGAACCTCAGGTCTCGGCAGTTGCCAGGGGCGCTTTTACATAATTAAAGCTTGTGCGCCAGCTGCACCCATACCTTGGGAAGTTTTACTTGGGAACGGTGGTTCATGCTCTGGTTACATCCCATATAGATTACTGCAATGTGCTCTATGTGGGGTTGCCTTTGAAAACTGTTCTGAAGCTTCAACTGGTCCAGTGAGCGGCAGCCAAGTTGCTCATTGGAGTGGCGTTCAGGGAGTACACACACCCCTGTTATGTCAGCTCCACTGGCTGCCAGTCTGCTATCGAGCACAATTCGAAGTACTGGCTTTACCCTAAAAAGCCCTAAATGGTTCTGGCCCAGACTACATGGCTGAATTTATCTTCCCCTACAAACCAGCTTGGAGACTAAGATCATCTGGGGAGGCTCTGCTCTCAGTCCCACCTTTCTCGCAAGCACAGCTGTTGGGGACAAGGGACAGAGCCTTCTCAATGGTGGTCCCTCAGTTGTGGAACTCTCTCCCTAGCAACATCAGATCAGCTCCCTCCCTATTAGCCTTCAGGCCTCTGGGAGCAGGCTTTCGAAAAATAGAACAGTGCAGTAATCGTAATGTGGAATTATGCTCAATTGATCACATAATGGCTTTAGACCTTGAACTCTGGGTGGCGTTTTTAACCTTGAATGTATTTTAATCATTTTTATTATGTTGTAATTTTAATACAAATCATTTTTAGATTAATTTTGTCTGTTTTGAGGCACCTTGAGTCCCCCTTGGGGTAGAGTTAGGCAGGATATAAATATGGTAAATAAATAAATAAATATACCATCATAATTGTGTAATGTGAATGGGCCATAGGTGAGTATCTGAACAGGGAGTAGGACTATTACCAACCAGTCTCATCCTTGGCAGTGTGCATACTAATTTTCCTTGCTGCCTGGAATATGTGCAACTGATGAAAACATCTCTGGTACAGAATTCTTCTAATGATCTAGAGGCCAGCAAAATCCATATTCATGTGAATGTCTTCTTCCATATGGCTGCAAACACAGACTCCCACACTGCAGATGCTCATGCTGGATTTGGACATGGACTTCAGAAGTGGGGCAAGGCAACAAATAAAACATCAGTAACAGGGCAAGGAACGTCAAAGGAACATATCAAACTTCCTTATAAAGGGAACTAATG